GCTTGGTAAAGAAATAGAGAAAGATGTTTTTTGTCTTGTCACAACAAAGAAAAAATTCTGATCTGAGTCCCCATGTTGAATCAAACCTTAGATCTTGGGATTCTGGGGTCTGATGCTCTACCATCTCTCATTCTATTTATAAACATGATGCTATGCAGGACACTATGCAGGATGCATGTCATATGAACTTTGTAATAGACCTCACTCACTGTGGAGTCTCTCTGGCTCAGTGGTAAAGCATTGGAGTGTGGAATCTGAAGGTCTGAGGTTCAATTCCTCATGGGGACTCAGAATTCTTTTCTTGTCCCACACTTGTGATGAGACAATAAAAATCTTTCTCTACATATTTCCTATCAACAAATTTGATGTCAATCATGTACATGTAGGAAGCAATGCTTAATCAATTATGCAAGTGGGCCAGAGAAGCCTTGGAACCCCTAAGATCATATGCTACAGGTATTTATATCATAGTTTACTGGTCTTACTTTACACAGTACTTCAGGCTTTGAACATTTTGGTCACCATACCTGAAAAAGAGAAAAAAGAAAATTTAGTTGACAAAATATTTAGCATCAAGTGGCCTCCTGGGGAAAATTAGATTTATCTAATTCTTGTACAGCTTCAGCTTCTGAATTAACTCAATTTTGTGTACATGTTTATTAACTGGGTGTAAGTAGAAGGTTGTTTTAGTTAGGTGATCCAAGGTAGTGTACAAGGTTAAGATATAGATAGTCATGGTTTCATTGAGGATTCTAATATTCCTTTTTGTTCATTTTTAATGTGTATTGCTGCAGTTGCATATTTAATTTGTTTTTAATTTCAAGTATCAAATAATAGAAACTTTGATAATTATTTTATTAACAGGTCTTTTAGCATTTGCCATGGAGAGCCAGGATATTGCTGCAGTATTCAGAGAAGAAAACTCTACCTTGGTAAGTCAGTATAGCAACTTTAAAGAGTGACCAGCATCTAATTTCTCCTTACAATATCTCCCCTGAATCAAACATAAAGGCTATGAGAACAAAGGAAATGATCACCAAATAAAGAAGCTTTTGACATCTTGTTAAATAAATTCTCCAAGTCAACAACTAAAGAAATGTATATAGAACAGTATGGAGAATATGCATACTGATGTTAGGGTGAAAAGGGGTTTTTAAAATATTGCATCTTAGCTTTGTGCTTAACAGCATTTTTTTCCAAAAGTCAGAGTGTATAGTTGAGCTTACACTTCTCAGGAATTGTCTTTTGTCACTCATGGCATTTTTTTTTTGGAACACCTTTTTTAAACTATACGCTGAGGATTAAATGTTGAATTTCACATGTTTAAGTTCCCTGTATTGGCAGCTGCAAATTTTAAAGGACTTGTTAGACCTTACACAGTCCCTTGTGACAGACCTGTTAAACAGGATTATCCTGAAAGCAAAGACAAATAGGAACAAGAGCAGGCTCCACTTACGACTCCGACTCTCGATTTTCTCTGGTTCGCCGGCATTCCTACGACTAATGAACAATTCGACTCCAATTCTGTCTTTTGTGTAAACGAACCTTTAGACACTCTACCACATTCATCCCTCTTGAAAAACACTACTTTAACTCTTCAACTCCCAGATCAAATTTGTAATTCTCCTTACTGTCAACCATAGAATTCTTATAATGTTAGTTCGGATAATTTAGTATTGGATCAGCTAATCCTGCCCGAATTGATCATTTTCTTTATTCTCATTACTTATCTGGTTGATATTGTATTGATATTGTAAGTAGAAATTCTGTCTTGGTCACTTGTGGAAGTTAGAGGTTAAGTCAATAATGCATTGTACCCACTGAAATCTGACAAAAAAAGCCTCAGAATTTAAAAGCTATTTCCTTTTATTGTCTTTTTAGTATTTGGCATCCTTTCTTTATCATGAAAAGTTTGCCACAGAATTTGTGACTCATAACGGAGTCCAGCGGTTACAAGAAGTGCCACGCCCATATGTGGCTGCTACAGGGTGTTCTATGTGTTTATATTATCTCGCTTACAATGAGGACGCCATGGAGAGAGTAAGACATTTTTTCATTTTAAAAAATGTTTTTAGGTTTTCGGATTTGTAGTTGTAAGAAATACATTATTCAGTGCAGATTTAACTTACCAATGATCTGTGAGTTATGAGCAGACCAGTATTTTCTAAAAGAAAGAGGTAACGAGTATCATTCCGTTAAACATGAAATAACAATGATTAACACATCTCTGCTTATTTTTCATCAATCTCCCTTCCCCCCCCTCTAAAAAAAAGCTTATTTATGTATAACGTTTAACCCACAGGTAGATAAAACATTACAGCACTTATTGCTGCATGAAGAGAGATAAAAAAGGGATTAAAGAAAAACCGGTCAAATGGATAAATAGAATGGTAAGCAAGGCGAATGAAAAACATAAAGATAAAAAACATAAAGATAATCACTCAAAAAATGTTATCTTACAAAACTACCATTAATTCCACAAAAAAAAACTTCAATGATTAAATTCTTGGTGCCCTTTTTTCTACATGGGTCAGAGGATCATGAAATTAACAAACAGAATATGTTGACGGAGCCTCCTTAACTCTTTCAAGTAACATGTTTCAGGTGTCCCTCCTACCAAACCCTGTGCTGAGTGACCTGGTCAAGTATGCATTGTGGCTTCTAGAATGTTCTCACGACTCTAACAGATGTCACGCAACTCTCTTTTTCTCGCTCACGTGTTCATTTCGAGCAGTGCTGGAATTGTTCGACAGTAATGATGGTCTGCGGGAGCTTGTGAACCGGGTAATTAGTCAGTTATATTATAAGTTTTTACTTTTTCTCCTCAGCCCGATGGCAAGTCTGTTTTACTTGGAACACAAATAGGCGAGTTGAAGGAATACAACTTAATAACTGGACAGGTACAAAACTCAATTTACACCTTTTTGATTTCAAGTCAAACGCCAAATTTTTCTTGAAATAGCTATATGTGTATGAATTAGTCGTTGATTGTGATAAGTTAAGTTGTCAGCTGTATCACACCTATTTTTTTTTTTTTTGGGGGGGGGTTCTTTTTTAGATTTAAACCGCTCAGTGCATGGTTTTCATGTTCATTTGTATTTCACGTATTTATTTTTTAAAAAATTACATTTTGCAGGAAGAGGCGACTTATCTCTGTAGCGCAGACAGAGCAATTTCCATGTGCCAATGTTCAAAAGTAAGAGTACAACATGGAAGTTTCCCTCCTCATATAGTTAAAAATACCTTTCTTTCTACTTCGAACAGGTCGAAAGTTTCATTAATGTTTTTCTCGTTTTTTTTTCCCTCCCCCAACCCAACAACAGTCAAATGGTAACAAGTTATGTTCGATGTTGGATTTCGTTCCACATCCACACAAACAAGGCAGCTCCGCTATTGCTTTTAAATAACTTAACGTTCGGTCAAATTCAGTCTTCTTGTTAACTGTTTAGTTTCCATATCTTTCGCTGAAACCAATCAACCCTTTTTATTCATCAGTTTTGCAGCGTGTTTCGCAACGTTATGAACCTTTCTAAGAATCATGTGACCATTTCAGGTTGTGTTCACGAATTCATTTCTCACTGAAGTTGTCTTTTTGTACTTCATTCTTCAATTTTTAGGACCGCGAACTTTTATTGACGTCATCTTCGTCTGCTTTGCCTCCCTGTGCTCTTTGGTCATTTGGAGACGTTTTCGAAATGAAGTAAGTCTTTGAACTTGAAAACCTGTTTGATTCATACCACTAGTGCATTGGATAGGCACGTCCTTGTTTGTGTCTCTGCTTGGTTTATTTGTATCTCACCTTTAACAAACTACATTGTTTGTCGCAGAAACATAAAACAAACACATACTTCACCTTGTTTTACCATTAATTTTTATTGACTTGAGGATCGCTGAAGTACAAAAAGAAGTTTTACATTGTTCTTTCAGAGCTACAACTTTTACAGAAGACACTTAGACAAACTAATTTCATAAATTACAGGGGACGAGCAATGATTCCAACTTAATTCACTTGCGGCAATCAACGCTCAAGATCAAAACAAGCAAAATGGGAAATAATTTCGGTGTATATCGTGGCTCGTATCCTATAATCGGATTGGTGTTAATAACGCGGTGACAGTAGGCGAACTGTAATATTTCGTCGTTACATTAATCTCTTTGTTTAATAAAAAATGTTATTTACTTAATAATTTTATTTGTTTCTCTGGCTCAGACATCCATTTAACGAAGACACCTGGGTAAAGTTTAGTAATTTATCAGAAGACAGAATTATTGGCACACTCGACGCCACTGCGCATGTGAGTTCAAGACATATGATGCATTTTCACTTCTAAATATATCAGGAGCAGCCTTCGTTTGACAAATTGTCGCTGTTCATTTAGAACATTTACAAAAGGAAAAATAGATCAGCGAAATTGCTACTGCGTGAACACGGGACAGCAAGGAAGATAGAATCGCTAATTTCGCCCAAGTTTGGGCGCGATCATTTTTTGTCTCGAATACATGGACTTTCAAGAGGCATTTTTAGCCCAAACTTCATGGCCAAGATCACTTTTCTACGCCTCAGTTTACTTGTTTTGAGGCCTCTTGGCTGTATTTGATAATTTTCTTATTTGTTATTTTGATATGCTTCAGAAACAACTTTGGTTTTTCTTTCACGCCACTCAGTTGAAATGCGTCTTTTGAAACATTAGTCAAACTTTAAGGCGCCAAACTCGAGATTTCTATCGGTAGATCGTTGATAAATTGGAGGCAAAGCCTAGTGATTACCTTAGTAAAGGTTGACCAGTATTTTCTTGTATTTGATTCAGTTGTTTCTTTTTTTTTTTTTTTTTTTTTTTTTTTTTTTTTTTTGTTTTTTTTTGTCGTTTATGGCGTGAGGTACTTCTCTGCCAAAACCCCCTTTTTATCGATAACTGATAGAATGCAGTTAGAGTGTGATGATGTTATTCACTAGATTATATTCAACCATCAGATTTACGACACTGCGACAGATCAGCGGGTACTAACTCTGCACGATTTCAACAACACTAATAACTACCCAAAGAACCTCGCCTCCTTCAATCCTACGAACGACCTGGTACTGAACGACGGTGTATTATGGGATGTCAAAGGCAAACGGGTTATACACAAGTTTGACAAGTTTAACAACTTTGTCAGCGGCGTTTTTCAACCCTCCGGGCTGGAGATTATCATCAATTCAGAGATTGTATCCTTTTCTTGTTTTTATAGAACGAGCCAATGCTATACTGTAAAGCAGTGAGTCCAGATCACGTTTCACGAAAATAACGGAACACAACGTCGGCCTTCCACGGATCTCGAAAAATCACTTTACCTCCTTCTTCTTTCTTTGACAGTGAATTAGGAGAGAAATAGATATCAAGGACTATTATTTCATAAGAAAAGTTTATTGTTTCCTCATCTTGAGCGTTTTCGGGAACCAATACACAGTCACCTGACTGATCCACCGAGTATAAACTTATTTCTGAATATCCTTGGTGATTTGCCGGCTAATTTACATCATCAACCTAGTCGATAAAACCAAACTATCTGGTTATTTCCCGCCCTCCCCACCGACGGAGCCTACTGTTTCTTGTGAAACTAACCCCTTGGATTGTCTTGAGCAACTCATTTCAAATCAACAGTTTGCCTTTTGTTTTGCCAATAATCCTTGACGCTAAAAACAGTGGGATCTTCGCTCTTTCCATTTACTGGACTCGTGTCCTTCACTAGATCAATGTCACGTGATCTTCAATAGCAGTGGTGACGTCATGTATGGGGGTAATTTCATGTTTACTTGTTTACACACTTCTCAAATTCGTTGATACTTTATTAATTTTTCACGAAGGAAATCAGACCCGACATTGAGGTTTTAGTGCGTCCAAGTCGTGAGCTTTTAGTTGTGATCTATATGTCATCTCGATATTCAAATTCAAACTGAGAGCACAGAATACTCACCCGGGATTATGGTTCCACAGGTTTTCAGCAGTTTATAGACATCCAAAATTGAGTAAGGAAGTTTTTCAACTTTTCATCAATTTTTTAGCAACTTTTGCAGTGTTTGGAAAAGTGAAAGAGCTCTAGCTCTTTTATTCGACTCATAACCCTAAAACTTCCGGCTCCAGTCTTTCGAAGGTAGGATAGCGCTATCCACTAGATAAAACTCTATGCGTCGGATAGCGTTATCCGCCCTTTACATAACTGGGCCCTCAGAGAACAGTTCCTCAGAGCCTCTGATATCTCAAAAAATGAAAAAAAAAATTAATTCTGGACTGAAGGGAGCGGTGTTTGTTCTTCCGTATTTTATAGTAAAATATCTTTCGGATCCTTTGGAAATACCGCCTTCCAGGCTCCTTGGACCGTACGAGACCTCGTTCGGATCTTTGACGCAACAGATTATCAACCAATAGGTAAGCAGGAGGGCTTGCTAAAAATTTCAATAGAAATTTTGTTTGGCGCTCGTTATCAGTTAATTTGAAATACCTTGACGTTTACGAAATGAGCGTGTAAATGATGTTGGAAATTTTAATTGCTTTTGAACAGTTACAATCGACGTTAAGAAGACAATATTTGATTTGTGTACCGATATAACTGATAGCTTTGTAGCCGTTATTGAGGTGAGCTTATAAATCGGAAACCTCTGCATTGTTTTGTTTTCCTCCCTTCCATCCTTCTTCTTTCATTCCCATCCTCTTCCTCTCCCGCTCCTGCTTACCTTCCTTTCTTCTCTTTTTTTCTCCCTCTTCTCACTCCTTCAGAGATGAGAGGATTCTTATGATTTCTATGAAACATTAAATTCAGTTCATCTTGATCGTAAGACCTGAGCCGACAAATTCACCTTTCATTAACGGGTAGTGATTACATATCTCAGTCGGCCAGGGCACTGCACCCGGCATCTCGCGAGGTCACAATCTCAAATCCTGTTCAAAGTCTCAATGTTGTTTTTGTTTTGTTTTGTTTTTTTCCTTCCTCCAAACCTCTTTGTGAAATTATTTGAGGAGCTGAAGCCCAATCATTAAAGTGTAGGAGTCTGGGTTGGGACCCTGGTTAGGTCTTTGTGAAGTGTTCTTTGGGAAGATACGTTATTCTCACAGTACATCTCTCCACCGAGGAATAAAAATGGGTAGCAGCAATTGGTGCGAAAACTTGACGAAATGCTGGGGAAGGGGGTGGGGAGGAGAGCCTTGCGACTAACTAGCCTTTCATTTCCAGTAGAGGAAGAAATTTGTAACACGGGGTTGAGCCACGGTCAAAAAGGGGGGGGGGGGGGGGGTGGGGCAATGAAGATTACGCTCGTCTGAGGTCATTCTTGGTTTGGGAAACTGTGTTCGCCCACAAACGGAGTTGTGGGCGAACACAGTTAGCATTAAAACTAATTATAAAACAAACCTTCGTGTGCAGAAGTGTGTCTGCTTCAAAGTACCGTTTACGATCAAATGGAAGAAACATCGTCAAAGGGATTAACGGAAGCTACACTCAAAGAACATAGAATGCAGTGAATATCAGCTCATATCTGTGTCCTCGGAGGGGGTTACGTCGAAGCCATTTGTCTCCTCGCTGAAAAAAAACTGTCTCACAGTTTCACTCATCCGCTCTACCCTTTTTGTTTTCTTTTTTCTTTTTCTTGTGGTTACGGTTATTTGCTCATTTCCGAAAATGCGGTGACGCACAATTAGTCACGAGGTGTTTCGCTTTTTAACAGCCTCTTCGAGCAAGGGTCTTTTCGCCTTTCACCGCCCCCTCCTTCCACTGTCCACTCAAACTCCAAGTCAAACATGGCCGGTCAAATAATAGATCGCGAACTTCTTAACTTTAACTCGCCCTAATATAATGCCTGCATTACAATTAGGAGCTAGCAGTAATCCCAGCTACCTTATGCCACGACAACTGGGAGAAACTTTGGCAATGTGAGCCATCTGACTGGCTTTACTTGTCATTTCATGATTGCATAAGTTACAAAATATCACCGCAAGGATCTCGTCATCATGTCATAACAGTTCACATGAATTATTTCATATCATAAATCCCGTAATGATCTTTTTTAGAATCAGGCGAGCACCGACGAAAGCGTTTGCCGGGTATACGAAGTTGGGCGGCTGCGTAGGGCTGATGACGAGGACAAGCAGGTATGAGAATCTTGAGGACTTTCACATCAATATTCGTAGGAACGGACCAATCAAAGAGAAGTGAAACCGCCATCTTGGATGCGAATTCGGTTAGGTGATTGGTTCTTGCCTTATTTGCATACAAAATCCTGCACTTTGTTAGGTTGTGGACTATAGCGCCCCCCTGGCACTAAAGCAGAGATGAACTTTAAATCACGTCACTTATTGCAACACGTGTTTGATGTAGGTCAACAAAATAACGACTCAATGCCTTTTTTCTCGTAGGAATCCGACGAAGGTGGCGAGGAAGATGACTATGTCGATGACGATGATGATGAGAATGATGATGATGACGATGAGGATGATGATGATGACGACGAAATTGAAATCACGATATCTGGCGATGATGATTCGGATGATGACAGTGATATTGCAATCTTTTGAAGCGCGGCTTTTAAGTTTCCATCTTTCAGTTGTTAATTCAACTCAACAATGAGCACGTCATTCTGCTTTGTTTTTATCTTTGAAAAATGTATGTGTATCACACAATTTGGGAATGATAGTTTAAGCTCTGAGTTGAGCTTGTTGACGGCGGAGTTTTATGTAAATTGCTATGTAGCAGAAAGTAGAAGTCATCATCGAAAAAGTTACACCCATGTTACTGATTATCAAATAAATAGAAAGGATGGAATGGTTTGTTATTCCTCTTGTAATGCAAACAAGCCAGCAAAGGACCACAGTTACTCTTACTCGCCACAGAGTTACTACTTGTCGATATATTAGCCTAAGTGAAACAGCTAAAAGTCTGCGTATATTTATTGCAGTCACTGTGAGGACAGACACGCCACAAAAAATGACCCCCAAGGTT